TATATTCGGTAGAGTCGTTTAATATATATATATATACCATGTTTATACGTTAGCGCTGGAACTCTATCACTACACTCCACGACAAACAATATATGGACACCTGTGTCGGTGTTCATATCTCAGTAACTACAGAAAATTTGAGGACGTTATTTGGATATGATGCTCCAATCGTATTGTGCGACTGCTGGCTTGTGGCAAGAGCTGGCCAATCGCAACACGTCTGTAGGCTCCTATAGAGATAAGTGGAAAAAGCACCGCGACAAAAATTGTGGACAGTTGTTTATATTGGATTTTGTATGGGAGGTGAGTAATGGTAACATCCTAATATGAGATGGTATCGCCGAGCTTCTTGGCCACCTGAAAGCAACGCCAGGGCATTGAGTCCATTAGCACGGTTGCTTCATCCATTGTGACAGAGGTCCACGCCTTCATCACTGCGGCAATAACCTCCACCACCAATTGGTACTGTTAGCCATGGCTGTAGACTTTGTCGGCTAGCAAAGCCCAGACGTTCTCAATAGGATTGAGATCTGGGGAACGTGCGGGCCATGCTAGCAGCGTCATCCCCAGTTCTTCGGGAAAAAACCATGGTCTCGTTCGACGAATGAATAGAGGCGTTATCATGCATGAACACAAATTCTGAGCCGTAGTTCTGGTGAGCGAACGGTAGCATGTGCTCCGAAATTGTCCAGTTGTTGTGGTGGGAGGCCTATCGCCCCTCCAACATCACGAGGTCAGACTTGCCTTTATAGCCAATGTCGCCCCTCTCCATTAGAGACCCACCGCCGTTCTGGCGGTTCGAAAATCCACGGGGAGACCGGCGCAAATCTCTCCTATAAAATTTGTAGCCATCGGGTCCGTCTAGGTTAAATTTCTTTTCATCAAAAAAATTACTAGCTCCCAAACTTTTTCTTTCTGAGCCCCAGAAAGACGTTCATCAAATTCCAAGCGAGCAGCCTTGTGTTCCGCTGAAAGTGGTAGCGTTCTGTCCATTTTAGAGTACGTTAGGAAGTCCACAGAAGACAGCAAACGCTGAACAGTTCAAAGCGAGCATTGCAGGTTGTATGTAGTTTTCAGCTCGTTCGCCGTGTAATCGACGGTAGCAGCAGTTCTAACGACCTGACGCACTTGAAGACCCGCCAGAGCCTTGGGCCGGCCCTGTGCCGCTAACGAAGCCTTGTTCGGCTTGCCCAGTACGTTTGCGATTTCTTGAGGAGAGCGCCTCACCCACCGAGTGATCTCACGGCCCGAAAAGCCGCCCTCGGCAATACCCTTAATCCTCCCGCGCTCCTCCTCGAAATAGCTTGGCCCCCTCCCCATACAAATGCTGTATGAGAGCCAGTGGATACATAGTTACCATCACTCACCCCCATACAAAATCCAATATAAACACCTGTCCATAACTTTTGTCGCGGTGTTTTTTTTTTTCCATTTATCTCTATAGGAGCCTACAGATGCTGCGATTGGCCAGCTCTTGCCACAAACCAGCAGTTGCATAATACGATTGGAGCATCATTTCTAAATAGCTTCGTCAAATTCCCAGTAGTTACTGAGATATGAACACCGACACATGTGTT